TTCCTTAGTTATGTAAAGAGTTTCAAAGTATTTGATTCCCAAAAGTTTCAAGGAGTTGGTCGCCATCAGTGATTTCACCTATCTTGGAAAAAATAGGGTAAAATTGTATCACTATCACTACTAGAATTGAAACTATTGTTGTAATTTCCAAACATTATTAATTCTACAATTTTATAATCAACTAATACATCCAACCACATTACATTCTCTATACAATTTCTCCATGACTCTCCCATGAATGGATGGTTCTATGACGTTGTTATTCTCATCTACCTCATCGATAATCTCCATTCCTATAAAAAGAAAGATAAATAAGAAGGATAAGTTCAATATCTGATTATGGTTTGATGATGGTGGTGAGTTAAAGAACTGAATTGGGAGATGAAAAGTTGGGGAAAAAAGAGTTGCTCAGAGAGATGAAGAATACGTATGCAAAATTGAGGGGAGCGGGTGTTCGAAGGATAGCCAGTATAAAACTTCATCTTGGTTCAGAAGATAGCCAGTATAAAACTCCGTCTCAATTCAGAGGATAGTCAATATACTACTCTATCTCAGTTCACATATTACCCTATACAAAATCTCTATTTGGTTCAGAGGATATCTAGTCAAAACTCTGTTTGTTGTTTGGTTTGGAAGGTATCCATTAAAAAATTCAAATTCTTATAAAAGGAGGTTCATGGGCATATCCTATTAAAAGCTCTCAAGATAGTGAAAACTTTCAAGAAAAAATTTTGGGGAGAGGATTAGGTCACCTTTATTTAGACTAAACATTATAATTTTTCGTTATCTTTCTCTTTCCCTTATCTCTTTTACTTTTCTAGTTATTTTATTTCATCTGGTTTTCCACCTATTTCTTTACTCTGCTAGCAATTTTTTTTGTTTACTAATGTTTATAAAGTCTGGTTTTCTCAAAGATTTTGTTTTTAATCAATGCTTTTCAAACATCCACAATTCAAATCTCCCTCTTATGGTTGGATTCACATGTTTAACAATCAAGACGATGACATAAATGTCATTAAAGATGTTATTAACAACGAGGAAGAAACCCCTCAAATTAAGCAAAATATTTCTAAAGAAATCACAAATGAAGAGAACACTAAAAGCAACAAGGAAGATGAGGCAGAAGACAACCAAGAAACCAATTAAGGTGCTTGTGAAGATGCTAGAAAATATGTAAGTGACATTCTAGGTGTCATTAAACATTATAATGTGACCATGAGTAACAATGTTAATACTGAAATAGTAATAATGATGAAAAAACATTATGGAAGTGACCATAATGATGTTGAGAAGAATGTAAATGATCTTCCCGAAGGAACTGTTGATTCTGATGAATTTGTTAGTGAAGATGACCAAGACAATCTAGATGTCAATGACATATATAATGTCACTTATGATATTGAAGATGATAACCCAATTGAAGAATTTGTGGCTGCTGAAAAGACTCTTAAAAAGTCTAAGAAGTCATCCCTAAAGAATATGTCTCTCTTAAACACAAAAGAAAAATTAACAAATCCACAATAACTAAAAAGAAGGTTGTGACCAACATGAAGAAATGAAACTCCAAGAAAATTTTGGGAGTTGTGATTGAGAAAAATAGGAAGTCTATGTAGAAAAAAGAATAAGGTTACTATCTAGAATAACTGAAAAGAGAAACATGGTGGTTAAAAGAAAGAATTCTCATGTGTACTATGATTAGAAGATTCTCAAAGACAATTGTGATGATATCTTGGATGACGTCTTGCAGGAAACTGTTGTGAAAAGAATAAAGAGGGTAGTTGGTGGAGAGAAACTAACTCAAAACTATTAGGAAAAAACAAATAAAACATAGAAAAAAATAGGAACACAATCACAACACAAGAACATAACGTGGAATCTCCAAAATCGGAGAAAAAACTATGATTGTTGTCAATAGACAACCAGAGAATAAAAAAATTGTTACAACACATAATATACCTTTAACTAACCCAGGCCCCCAGTACACCCACACTCTTCAAAACCAATATTTAACTATTATCCAAACACTCTAAAACAAGAGTATAAGAGAACAAAGAAAGTCAAATACAAGCTTAAAGTGCTTTTGACTGGTGCATCTTGGAATGAAGAACTTGAATCCTATATATAGTTTTGGACTCTCTCTTCCTCCACAAAACTAAGTGATGTGGGACTTCAAAGAACTTGTATTTTATATATAGACTTTGACTCTCTGTTCATTCGCAGAACTAAGCAATGTGAGATTTTTTCAACATGTATATTTTTAACCAATTTCAACAATCTCCACCATGATTCAAAATAATACATAAGCTTTCATTGTCTTCACCAATAATCATACTCCACCATAAAGAGTATCAACATGTATATTCTCAATCAACCCCAACAATCTCCACCTTGATTGAAAATAATAAATAAACTTTCAATGTCTTCATCGACAATCATACTCCACCATAAAGAGTATAGTCACTTGAAACTAAATCACTCCAAGAATTTTCACATTGTCTTCACCGACAATCATAGTTTTAAAAACTATCATACTCTCTCGTGAAAAATATATTTCACTTGAGATAAACCACTTCAAAAATTTAACATTGTCATCATCGACAATCATATACTTTATCTTGAAGAATAAATTTCACTTGAAGTTAAATCAATCCAAGAATTTTACATTGTCTTCACCGACAATCATAATTTTAAAAAAAAAAATAGCGTACCCCACCTAAAGAAGAGTATATTTCACTTGAAGTTAAACCACTTCAAGAATTTTCACATGTCGAAAATCAGGTTGAAATATTATAATGCAACTTCCTTGTTGGCAGGAAGTTCTTCAACCACCGACATAATCACACTATGTAAAAATTATTACAACATATAATATACTCTAAACTAACCCAGACCCCTAGTACATCAACACCCTCTAAAACTAGTATTTAACTACATCTCACAATACTTTAAAACAAGAGTATAAGAGAACAAAGAAAGTTAAATACAAGCTTAAAGTGCTTTTGACTGGTGTATCTTAAAATGAAGAACTTGAATCCTATATATAGCATTAGACTCCCTCTTCCTCTACAAAACTAAGTGATGTGGAACTTCAAAAAACTCATATCCTATATATAGACTTGGACTCTCTCTTCATTCACAAAATTAAGTGATGTGGAATTTCTTCAACATGTATATTTTCAACCAATCTCAACAAAAACATCCCTCATATATCATTGGGAAACATCTCCTTTCACTTTGAGAAGAACCTTATCAAATATAAATATGTGTTCTACAGATGAATTCCCCCCAAAGAGAAATGTTCAAAGATGCCAAACAGTGCACCCAGATCATGGAACTTCTCACTGATACATGATTCTTAAAAATTATGATGAACATTGTTCCCTTCTATCCTAAGTTGGCTAAGAAGTTTATTGTGAACATTTTTAAAGGAATCAATAATGATGTTGGCAAGAATGAATATAGGCAGGGGAATGTTGTTTCTATTTAATGAGAGGTTATAGATCGTGCGAATACTCAGACATTAAAAAATCAAGTTTTTTATTTTATAGTTTTTGTTGAATCTTTTGTTTTTGGGTTTGTAATACTATATTCTAAAATATCTTTCATAGATCAGAAGGATAGTGTATTTAATTGTAAATGTGATTTATCACACCTTATATTTATGTAATTGTACAAAAACTTGAGAGAGTATTTGAGTGAAGGTGAGAGGGATCTCAGATGTAGAGAGGGTCTGGATCAAAATTCATGATTAGTATTAGAAAAAAGATATTGAACTGGCCGAGTTTGGATAAAACCGTCGTGTACTATTAATTACTAATTAATGATTTTTTTTTCATTTGACTAATACCCTTGGATGTATGTAATTTTACACCGAACTAGATTAAAAATTTATTGCATCATATATTTTTGCTTATTAATTTTTGTTGTTACTTCATGACATTGTCATACATATTATATTATTTCAACGTTGAGTATGACATATTATAACAGATCCAAAAGAATGTCAATAAATAAATTAAGTTAAATTTTGTTAAGGCTAAGAGCTGAATTCAAGATCGTAGGAGTATAATGTTTTTTTAACAATTTAACCTTAAAAGTAGTTATAATAATCAGCCAGCCAAGCCTCACACAAGTCAAAACATGCCTGTTAGTTCACGTAGGTGTTACGTGAATCTGTCTTCTTTAGGTTCAGTGATATATATATATATATATATATATATATATATATATATATATATATATATATATATATATATATATATATATATATATATATATATATATATATATATATATATATATATATATATATATATATATATATATATATATATATATATATATATATATATATATAATTTGACTATTTGACTATTTTCTTAATCGTGCGTGGTAGGTAGCATGTCATAGATTATTAATTAAATGTCTATGGAGGAGAAAAAAAGAAGAGTGGTAACATGTTTTCTGAAACACGGCATCAATTTGATAATGACTCAACAAATCAAACCTCGACTAAAGAGTTTTAGGTTCAAATCTTCAAGTGGAATTTGATTATTACTACTTTTGTTTCAAAGTGGACTTTCATTATCATATACAATAGGCCAGCCATGACAGAAGGAAGTTATAACATGGTCTGAGGTGGAGTACAGCAAAATTATATCACTTTCAAATACTTTCTTTATTCATTGAAAATTCAGACAGTTTATCTATAAAAACTGAATATTATAAGTTGGAATGATGATACAAAAACCTTGATGCAAAAAAAATCCAAAATACATAATAACTACACACTTTACCATAACATCACCACATACAAAACATGGTAACAATTACCAAATTCATGTTATTAACAATAACACTGTGTTTGAGGATAATTGTATTGAACATAAGCAATAATGATAATAATTTTATCTCTTTGAGTTAACTTCTTATTCTGTTGGAAATTATAGAAACTGGAAACTGAATGAGATGCACAGCACAACAATCTTTATGAATAAAAATCACTGAGATCCTTTGAGCTTCTTTGCAATGCCAGCAAAGTACTTCCCCTGATGGAATGCTTGAGCCAATTCCAAATCGGTAGGCTGTCTTGAGCCGTCCCCTGCGTAGGTACCTGCGCCGTATGGGGAGCCACCTTTCACATTCTCCATCTCGAACATCCCAGCACCAAATGTGTAACCAATTGGCACAAAAATCATTCCGTGGTGAACAAGCTGGGTAATGGATGTCAACCTGCAGAGTTTCCAAATCAGAAAAGCAATTTTTATTTCGGTCTGTTTGGTTGTGCTTTTAGCAAAGAAAATTACTTTTTATTCAACTAAAAGGAGTGTTGGAAACCAAAGTGAGCGAGAATCGGTAACTCACGGGGTAGTCTCTTGGCCACCTCCTTGAGAACCAGTGCTGTAAAAGATTCCAGCAGGTTTTCCTGCAAGTGCCTGAGTGCGCCATAGGCCTCCAGTTGCATCTAAGAATGCTTTAAATTGAGAAGCCATCATTCCAAATCTTGTCGGGAAACCAAGCAACAAACCATCAGCCTCAGTTAGTTCATTCGGTGTAATAATCGGCACATCACTCTTTGGAGGTGCTCCCATCTTCCCAAGGACATCCTCTGGAAGTGTTTCAGGTACCTGTATTACGCACGGATGATAATAATGTAAATGCACAGATGATAATAATGTAAATGCACGATGAAAATTGAAAATTCCCTATGTAATCCAAATTACAAGATCTAATGTGTTGGACTGCAGAAGGTATAACTCGAGAGAGACTTATGACAACACCAAGTACTAACCTGCCATAGTTTTGCTTCAACTCCTTCGACAGAAGCCGCCCCTTTTTTAATCTCTTCAGCTAGCTTCTCGACATGTCCGTATGTAGAGTAGTAACTAAACAAGCAAAATTCTTTTATCAGATTCATGTAACATTATTAGGATAGACATTAAAGATCATATAGCCAATAAAACACAGGTAAAGTGTGATTCACTTTTTGACAAAAAAACATTACTATATCAACCACTTATGCATCAACAGAGGAATAGGATGTTGCACTATGATACAACCAGAAATATTTTAGTAATACCAGACAAGGCATGATGACATTGACAGCACATCTTCTAAAGGAAGAAACCAATTAATTAAGCTTCCATATTTTACATTTTTCATGAGAAATAATTGAGATGGTTGGGGCCAAAGAAACATATTCAATTACAAAAAGTTTTAACTGAATTGTAAGCAAAGGAATAGTCAACAACAATGATGAATAGTAGGACCACACTCCATCAAAAGTGGGAGGACCTTGCACTCTTGTCTACATGGTTATTGCCTTTACAACCTTCTACTAAAAGGTGGGTCAAGTCTAGCATAACCCATTCCTTTCTTGAATTGAAAAAAAAAAAAGAAAAAACAAGGAAAAGAAAGATTTAGAGCTGTTTTCAACTATGAAGTACAAACTACAAACACACACGGACATCAATCACGACACTACGCTGACACAGGTAATAATTTGAAAAATAAATAAATCAAATGTAATTACAAGTGTATGTATCGTGTCGGTATATGACACTGAGATGGACATGGATTGTACGGTGTACGACAATGACATGAACACACATTTTTTCAGAGGTGTCTATGCTTCTGAGGTTTTCAACTTATTTATCAGATAGCTTGTGAAAATAGATCATAGCTTATATGAAAACAATATAACATTATTTTATCTTTTCTGACAGAAATAACAAATACATAAGCGCTTATTATTAAGCTGTTTATCCAATCATGTACCAACCCAGAATCTGAAAACAGATCTGTCTCAAAAAACTTCTTTAAGGACAAGTGTAAGAAGGAACTTGACAAGACATTACTTAATATCCTCATGCTCAAACATAAATTCTTAAAGTTATGCAATTCTCTAATATAGTTTCATTGAAGTGTACATAGATCCAACAGAACAACAGAGAAACAAGTATAATCAACCGTACAAAAGTCAATTGATGACAAAACAACACAATCCCCCAAATTTTTGTTTTGTATTTTTGCAACACTCAAAGGGGAAGAACAGCATGCAACTTTGAAACCTGATTTTAATCAACACAAACACTTCAAATAGGTTCAATTCAAATAGAATAAAGAGGAATTATTGATTAAGCGATTCTAACAAGCACAGTTGACTTTTTCCAAATGATAAACAAAAATTGAAAATCATCTCAAAACCCACTTCCCAATTCATGTAAATAACAAATAGATAAACTGCGAAAGGAAGCATATCAGTAAACGTAGAATTCAGAAAGTGATAAAAATTTGTGAACTTTACAATAAAAAAGGTGAAAATTAAAAGGGGGAATTAGAGTGATGTTCACATAGCATCTGAGAGAAAGGGAAAAAACAGAGAAAGAAAGAAGAAAAATAGAGCTTACACAATGTAAACTTTAGTGGCAGCCATTGATGGATGATGGTTGTGTAATGCTCTGAATGAGGAAAAGGAAAAAACAAGTGATGGTGGATGAAAACGTTGACGGGGTACCTATACTTATAGTGCATGTCGTGAAATATATAATGTATTTATTTGAAATATATAATGTATTTATTTGTTTGTTTATTTTTTATTTTTATTTTTTTTTTGGGTAAGGTTTACTTACTCTCTCTTCTAGATGCATGAACTATCTTTTCTTTTAAGGTTTAATTAGTCTCTCTAGATGCATCAATTATTTAGAAATTTTAAATAATTGAGCTAAGATCATTCTCTCTGTCTTTTAATAAATTTCTTTTATTTAAAATATGTGTAGTTTTAAAAAAAATAATTAAATGAATTAATTTTAATAATAAAATTAATATTTTTTACTAAAATATTATGTTTTTATTACAGATAGTGAAATAGTTGAAAAACGTAAAATGAAATATTTTTTATAATAAGTAGGCGAAAAACGTAAAAGTTAATAAATAAAAATATAATAGTAAAAATGAAATACCTTTTATAAGACGTATGTAGTACTATATTATCTATAACATATATAAAGCCAAAATATGGTATTTTGGTGTAACATATTTCTCTTCTAATTTTACCTTTATTTTAATGTATAACTTATTTAATAACTTCATATATAATTTTTTGGCTTAATTGCAACTTTGGTCCCCCTATTTTGTGTTTTTTTGAGTTTTGATCCTCTCATTTTAAAAATCACGGTTTTGGTCCCTTTTTTAGGTTTCAAGATTAATATTAGTCTCCTTGTCATTTTAAGTCATATTTTTAATGAGGTGGCACTTTGACTGCTGATGTGGCATTTCCATGTCAATTAAAATGGTTTTTTTAATTTAATTTAATTTCCATGTCATTAACTTAAATATTATTTCATTTTCACAAATTTAATAAAATAAAATTTAATTGTAAACATTATTTCAAACCCAATAAACATTATTTCATTTTCACATTAACGTAAACCGTTCATCTTCAAACAACGAACAAGGTGAAGCTCGCTTCAAATCCAAACCTTCATTTTCAAACCGCTTCAGAATCCAGTTCATCTTCAAACCGCAGTTCTATATCATTGTAACCTTCATTTTCATCTTCTTCCCATTGTAACCCAAACCCAGTTCTATATCAAACCGCAGCTCGCTTCAAATCAAACTGCAGCTCGCTTTCCGTCGTCTCTGAAATGGCAAACCGAAGTTACGTGTCGAGGTATGTTTCGTAACTCAGCTCTGAATACAAAAACCCTAAACATGCAAATGGCGTTTGTGTTCTATCATAGCATATGAATTGTTAATACCAACTCCCGGTTTTATATATGGTTTAATTCAGCTGCTGTTTTTTTTTTTGTAGGCCCTCTAATACGGAAGCTGTTAGATTTAGAGTACACCATAGAGGACATTTAATTCAGAATCCAGTTCTGTTGTATGTTGATGGGCTTGTAAGTGAAATGAATTGTGATTGAGATGTGGACTTGATGTCCTACATGCAAATTGAAGAGTTGATCAAGAGTGAGGGGTATCGTAATATAAAGTGTTTATGGTATTGGAATCCTAATTTTTCATTTTCTCGTGGACTTCGGCCTCTTAACAATGACAATGATATCTTAAGGTTAATGGAGGATGTTAGAGGATTTAAGGTAGTTAATCTTTATGTTGAACACAAAGTTGAAGAAATAAGTATTGAGGATGTTATTTTTGAAGAGGATAATGGTGAAAAAGGCAATGGTGAAGGAGCAAATGATGAAGAGGTTAATGTTGAGGAGGATAATGGTGAAAAAGGCAATGGTGAAGGAGCAAATGATGAAGAGGTTAATGTTGAGGAGGATAATGGTGAAAAAGGCAATGGTGAAGGAGCAAATGATGAAGAGGTTAATGTTGAGGAGGATAATGGTGTTAGCGTTGACGAAGAGGTTAGTGTTGATGACGTTGATGACGAGAGTGAAACAGATCCAGATTATAGCATGGGCAGTGAGGATGACGAGGAAGAGGATGAAGATTTGGAAGATGAAATTGATGTGATGAATTTAGGTGTTGATGCTAGTATAAATTGGAAGACCGTTTTACCTAATGCAGAAAAACCTTCAAAGTTGGATGATAATTCTGATAATGGTAGTGATTCAGATGTGCTTCAAACTCCACCCGGTAGTGATGCTGAAGGTGATACGACAAAGTTTCCAATCTTTAGGGAACCCACACAACTTGAAGTAGGGATGATGTTCAAGGATAAACAACAAATCAAAGATGCCATAAAGGAGTATGCTATGGAGAACAAGAAGAATCTTGTATTTAAGAAAAATGACAAGAAGAGAATGGTTGTCAAGTGTGTAAATGGTTGTCCATTTCATATTAGGTTTAGCATGAGGATTACCAGTCAATATTGGCAACTTGTTAGCTTGACTGATCGTCATGGCTGTCATAGGACAGCCAAAAATAGACAAGCAAAAACGGATTGGTTGGGTCGCCAATTTGTGTACACCATAAGACACACTCCTGAAATAAAAACCAAAGGGTTGATTGCAGAAGCTATTAAGAAGTGGGGGGTGAAGTTGTCAAAGGATCAAGCTTACAGAGCCAAGAAAAAGGCAATGGAATTAATTCAAGGTGCTGGTCGTGAACAATTCACACACCTTAGAAGCTATGGTGAGGAGTTGTTAAAGTCAAATCCAAACTCCTCTGTTAAAATTAAGTGTGTTGATTCATATGGTGGTCCTGTCTTTGAAAGAGTATATGTATGCTTAGAAGCTTGTAAGGCAGCGTTTGCAACGACGTGTAGGCCTCTAATAGGACTGGATGCTTGTTTTCTTAAAGGGGACTTTGGAGGTCAGTTAATAGGTGTTGTTGGTAAGGATGAAAATAACAAGATTTATCCAATCGCTTATGCCGTAGTGAAAGCTGAAACGAAAGACTCATGGAAATGGTTCCTTAATTTTTTATTAGAAGACTTACAATCTATACAAGACAACAAATATGGATTTATATCAGATCAACAGAAGGTTAATTATAACTATTATATACAATGCTAAGACTGTTAATTATACAATGCTGATTATAACTGTTATATACAATGTTGATTATACAATGCTGTACAAAATTCTGTTAATGCTATATAACTGTTAATTATACAATGTTGATTACAAAATTATGTTAATGTTTATGTTAACAATGTTGATTACAAAATTTTGTTAATGTTAATGTTAACAATGCTGTACAAAATTCTGTTAATGTTAATGTTAATGTTACAATGCTGATACAATTTTGTTATGGTACTGAATGCTGATACAAAATGACACCAAAATGAGTATTGAAAAATGAGTACTGAATGATGATACAATTCTGCTATGTTAATGTTAATGTTACAATGCTGATACAAAATGAGTACTAAATGCTGATATATGACACCAAAAAAATATGACACCAAAATGAGTAAGGTGAACTTCAATTTTGCAAACATTATGCTGCTGTTATAACTTGATATAATTTGATATATGTTAACAATGTTGCTGCTGTTATAACTTGATATATGTTAACAATGTTGTTGCTGTTATTACTTGATATATGCTGATGTTATAACAATGTTGGTGTGATACTTATAATTTGATATATGATGTTGCTGCTATAACTGTTAGATACTAATATATGCTATTATTTCAGGGATTGGTACCGACTATTCTTAAGACAAACCAACATGTTGAACACAGACTATGTGTTAAACACTTGTATGGTAATTGGAGAAAGAAATATTCGGGGATATTTATGAAGGAGGCTTTATAGCGGGCAGCTAGAGCCACAACAATTCCTGCATGGGAAAGAGCGATGAATCATATGAAAGAGCTCAATGTCAATGCTTGGAAAGACATGATGGATGTCCCAACTGCATGTTGGACTCGGTCTCATTTCAAAACAGACACACAATGTGATTTGCAAGTCAACAATATGTGTGAGACTTTTAATCGTGCAATCTTGGAGTATAGAGATAAGCCGATCATTTCACTACTTGAAGGAATCAAACATTACATAACAGTGAGAATATCTGCTCAAAAGGAGAAATTAAGTAGGTACATAGGTGTTACAAGTCCTAACATTCAAAAAGTCTTGGAAAAAACAAAGAGGGCAGGAGAAGGATGGATTGCAACATGGCATGCAGATGATGACTTTGCAATATTTGGAGTTTCAAACGGTGTTGAGACATATGATGTGAACTTGCTTCAACAGAAATGTGGTTGTAGGAAGTGGGATTTAAGTGGAATACCATGTTGTCATGCTATTGCATGCATATGGTATAACAAGAAGGAGACCTAAGATTACGTTTCATCATTCTATAGGTATCACCTACTCGTATATTATGTTCATTTACATTCATCTTTTTTGTACGTTAACTAAAACCATTGTGTCATATTCTCTAGGAAATCTATTATGCTGGCTACTTATAGCCATATCGTCATGCCAACCAATGTCCCACAACTATGGCCTGTTAATGTTGCTAACCCAATCAGCCCTCCAGTCATGCGAAGATCTATCGGTCGTCCTAAGAAGAATCGTAACAAGGCAAATGATGAACCGAGGATAAGAAATACATTGCCTAGAACTCTTCAAACTGTCAAGTGCAAGAAATGTGGGAGTTTTGGCCATAACAAACGAATGTGTAAAGGGAAGCGAGCTGCGGAGAGAGCGATTCCTAAAGGTGGCAACAAAAAATCTAAAAAAAATGGTGACAAGTCGGGCAAGGAAGCGGGAGAAACTGTTGTAGACAGAGGGTCGCAAGCACCACCACCAACCCAAGAATAGTTCTATATTTTGCTTTACTTTTTGTGATGCTGCTATAGCATATGATTTGCTTTACTTTTTGTTAAAATATGTTGTCTTTAATGCTGTCGTCAATGTAATGATACATATGTCTTGAACTTCTGTTGCAAGAGCCAAAACAGAACTTCTGTTGTTATGAAGTGTATACATCCACTGTTAATTTTTTATAAC